TATTGGCGCCGAAGACTCCCTGATAAAAATTTTAGGGTAACTCGCCAAAAATAAATATCTCAAAATAGTACAAAGGGGGACGCTTTGAGTCGGCAGGGGGTCAAATCCCTGAAAGGAAAAAGGCGTCCTCCCCGCCCCCCCCCTAACTCCACTACTGACTACAACTGTACTCAATTGAAGCCATGATGCTTTCAAGCTTAGTTTTTGCTCCTCTGCTGTCTTGATACATTGATATACGCACAAAAATAACAACACAAAATCGTGTTTTAATCATTTTTTTTGTATTACCCGGTCAAAACTTTCTCAACTACTTTCACTCTTCTTTTGACCCGAGTGTTATTTGAAATTTCGTGACCATATAAATCATTGATTGTTCCAGAAGCTAACATCATGTGGTGCAAACCGCAGGAAGTCTGTCAGAAGGAGGTGGAATTTCTGGTCAACTACCAGCACACAGTGTTTGATTTCACCTCATCTGGCATTGGGCGTTCTTCATTTCTAGACAAAGAACTTGGTTGCCACAAGGAAGTTCAAGTCTACACAATTTTGGAAAACTGGAAGCTTTTGGTAAGCGACTGCTCTAGAAGTTTTGAGTCCAAATGTACACAAATTGCAAAAATTGTGTCACATTTGAGCAACAAAAATATTGAAAGTTTCATGAAAAATTATTCGACACTTCAACGACAAAAGCTTGTAAGATCCGCTATCGCAACTTCTAGGATGCTCCCTGTCGAAAACAGAGCCCAACAGTTTCAAACAAGTGACAAAGTTTCTCTTGGAGAAAACCTCAATGCGATTGACGGATATCTCTTCAAGTTACACCATTGCCTGCGTCTCGACCAGAAATCAAAAGAATTTCTGAAATCTTGTGGCGTTGTAGATCATTTTTCACAGAACACTTGTATAGACACTATTAATAGGATTGAATGCTTTGACGATGAAACTCAAGTCTCACAATTAGAAGAACTGTTGGATGCCCTCATCAGAGTTAATTGTGATCCTCGTTCAGTGACTCAGTTACCAGATACAGAAATGACATTTCGTTCGATTCAAACTTTATGCTTGGATGATCACAACGAGCAATGGCATTTGGACGATCAAATCTTTTGCACACATCCTAAGCTTTCTTCCCAGACTGTGTTGAAATTTGGAGTTGTAACAAAACGAAAGAAGCTCTTGCATATGAACAGCGAGTCTATTCGTTTCAGTTTTGGACAGTATGAGAACATCTGTGATAGAATCAGGAGTATTTCTGTGAATTACTCGGACCCCATGGACGTATTCAAGGAGCTCATTCAAAACGCGGATGACAGCGGGGCTTCTGAAATTCATTTTCTTCTGGATAAACGAGTTCGTTCACAGAGAGAACAAAGCAAGGTCCCTGACGTAGCGTGGGAAAAGTTACTAGAGCCTGCTTTATTGGTATTCAATAATTCTTTTTTCACGACCGACGATATTGATGGCCTTCAGAAATTAGGAACGGGATCCAAGCGTGAAAAAAGCAGCACAATTGGTAAGTTTGGTGTGGGTTTTAACTGCGTCTACAGTCTAACAGACACACCATGTTTCCTGACACAAGTGGATGGTAAGGGTTGTGGAAACGTCTTTTTGCTGGATCCCATGTCAGTTATTGTGTCCGAGCCTGAACGTGGACGCAGACTGCAGCTCAGCCAGCAACTCATCAGGCGCTACTCAACGTTGATGGAAAGTTTCCTAAGTAGCAACCAAAACCTGAATGCGTGTGATGGAAAAACGATGTACAGGTTCCCTCTTCGGAAAACGTCCAAACTGGGATCCAGCGCGGTTTCAAACAAGAAACTGGGATCCAACACGGGTTCAATCGAGGAAATGGAAGGACGTTTAAAATCTCTGGGGTCAAAAATAAACCAGTTTCTTCTATTTTTGAATCACATTCGGCAAATAAAAATCTCAACAGTCGAGGAAAACGGTTTGATTACTGAATTACTTTCCGCTAAAAAAGAGATTCTGGACTCGATTGAAAGCAGATACAGGGATTTTTTGCATTTATGTGATTCAAATCAAAGTGAGTCGTCCAGTTTTGTCTACTCAGTTAAAATATCTGTAAATGATAAGTTTGAAAAATGGCGAATTTGCGACTACGTATCGGTACCAAACTCCCATTTTAGAGGGAAATCTACACGCGCTTCCGTTGCGTTTAGAACGGAACCAAATCTAAAGAGATCCGACGATAGTTTTCCTTCAGTGTTCTGTTTCTTACCGCTCGAAGCTGCATCTAACGGCCTCGCTAATGAAAACGTTCAATTTCCTGTTGTTGTCAATGCCCAGTTTAAAATCGATGAATACAGACGAAACGTGAGTTTAAACGACACCTGGAATGTTGACATTTTGCAAAATTCCTTGGGACCTGCATATGCAACGTTACTACGGGACCTCTTATACCCAATTATATCTCCCAGTAAATTTGAGCTCATTAAATTCATGTCATATTTACCACAGTTGAACTCAGAAGGTGTCCTATTAACTGAAAGAAGCTTTGTATTTAACATATTTCGGGGCATGCTACACGCACTCAAAGATGTTGCATGTATGCCAATCGTGACCAAACATTTAAAATTTAAAATGTTATCCCAATCATCAGACGCGAACCTGACAAACTTTTACTTCTGTGAGGACAGTTCGCTTGCTGAACTCAAATTTAATATCTTGTATGACCTTGGATTTGAACTGAAGTTGAAGATGACCCAATTGAGTCCAAAACTGACCTCGCTTTTGAAACAGTCTGGCTTTGGAATTCAAGACGCGAACCAAAATCTGTACCTGGACCGCATATGTGAAGGAATAAAAAGTGCTACCCGAATTGAGGAAACTTGTTTTAAAAACTCCCAAACTCTGATAGTATTTCTTGAATGGGCAAAAAACCAAATCATTAGTCATTTTTCACCTGAAATCCTTCCCATCTACCTTTCGTCTAATGGAACACTGATGAGAAACAACGGCAAGCACAAACTATACAGCAGTAAGTTTTCCATACAAGAAGTTTTCCCGAAGATTAGATCCCAAATTTTGGACCCAGATGTTGAAGATATTTTGGAGGACATGAAAATCAGTTGTGAAATGTCATTGGAAACTTTTCTATCCGAATTCAAATCTCAGTATGTCAACTTGCGCCAAGGAAAAAAATGTGTTTACAGCAACCAAAGCTTTCCAAAAATGTTGGAGATTCTTCATTTGGTCTGGCAGTTTTTTCTAGAAAATGAGACGAAAGTGGAAAAGGAAGTAATATCAAAGTTTTCTATTTTGCCCTGTTCTGATAAAAACAACCGTTTGTTGTGTCTTCCAATTTCAAAAGGCAGCGAAGTGATCTTTTCAAAATTTGTTCCACTGAAAATCGGGAGTGTGACAGGAATTCAGGTGGGGGACTTTGAGGGCTTCTATCAACTATATCCGAGTTTTGCCAAGGAATCGGATACACTACGCCAGTTTCTTTCCAAATTTGTGCTGACTAGTTGTCTGGAAGTTGAGCAAGAGATAAATATCCTGTACATTATCTATACGAAATCTGGTTTCGAGAGCTTCGATGATGAGATAAAAATGAAATTGTACTCATATTTTCGGGAAAGCTGTGATGAATTTCTGTCCCCAGGGTCTCTTAGCCAACTGAAATGTCTCCCTATTTATGAGACTGCAACAGGTTCGTTTGAGCCCCTTCAAACCGAGCGTGGAGTCGTCTTTGTCGTTTTTGCTATCGAACAGTCGTTGCCCAGAAACGGTATTTTGTTAAAATCAACAACCATGGAAAAATATGTCTTCCAGGAAACCACAAAACGAGGAAGAAAGTTCCAGGAAATGTTAGGAATTATTGATAGAAACTGGCTGGAGATGTACATTTTATTGATTGTTCCGATATGCTTCGAACGACTCAGTCAAAACGAAATGTGGTTCCATTTGAAATTCCTCCAGGAGCAAGTTGAAAAAGATAACAATTCAATTAAAAATGAAGACTTGTACAAATTATTTACCTTTTTAAAGCAAACAAGTTTCATTGAAACGAGTAGTTCACTGCTCGTGGGAACAACAAACTCAAACGTCACAGTGAAAACTTCTGACGTCATAATGAAAAGACCACCCGAATTATATGATGACGAACATATTCTGTTCCAGCAATTCGAAGAAGGATCCTTACTACCTGAGTATTATGTTCCCTTCAAAAATCTCCTAAAAAAATGTGGCCTACACTATAAAATAGCAAACGAAACCGAGTTTTGGCAGTTTGCTTCGATGCAAGCGATGCGACCCCATGAAAAAGCCGGAGAAACACTTAACTACCATGATAATATGCGTAAAGTTTCCAGGGTTAATGACAGAATTTTGGAAGAGTTAATGGCGAATTTTGTTAGACTGGAAATAGATGGCAGTAATTTTGACGAGTTTATGGATCTATCTTTGTTTCCAACAATCAATTCAGGCTTAAAACCTCTAAATGAAAGTTATTGCCGCAAATACGCGTTGATTCTTGATCAAGTATCGCCTATTTTAACAAAAGAAATTTCGGAGTTCAATTTTGAACAAAAAATACTGCAAAGATTTAAAACGAAATTTTCAACCCAAATCAAAGAATTGTGGAAAAAAGCAATATTAAAGGAGCCAGCAGCAGAACAAGTTCTTAAAAACCTTAAGTACATTTTGGATGCACCCGAGAAATATTCAGCGGAAAAGGTCTGCTTAAGTCTTGATTTTGTTTCAAAGCACCCAAGTACACTACAAGAAGTGAAGGGTCTTTCATGCGTGAAGACAAGGACTAGGTCGGCTCAGCATCAGCCGAAGATGCTGGGTCCCCGACAGCTCTGTAAAATGTTCAAGTGTAGCGCGTGCTTAGGTGAAGATTGTCCGCTTAGAGAGTACATTGATGAGCCAGAAAACAGTCTATTAGCAGCTTGGGACAGTCTGGAAAAAATGGGAGCATCATCAGCGCCAAATCTTCAGCAGATTATCAGGGCTTTGTTTCAATGCAAAACAGAGTGTGATGATTTGAATTCAGAAGTTGCTACAAAGTCAACGGTGCCAAAAAGTAAAAGTGTCTGAGAGAGCAACCCTAATTTACAAAGTAAATTCAAGCACATTCAAAATAACTTATTGACGGCATCTTGGAATGAAGAGGATGTCAAATTATTGGACAGAGATTTTCCACTTTTCCTTCTCCCAAAAAACAAAAATCAACCAGTTCAAATTGACCAGAAAATACTAGTGGATGATGTTAACTTGTTCGAACAAATAAAAATGAATCTGGAACAAGAGAAGGATGCAGTTAAAAAAGATATGACGAACAGTCATTTGGTAGAATTAACAGACTATTGGTTGATTCAAAAAATCAAAAAGTTAACAGATTATGAGTCACCTCTGAAACCAGTTTTCCTGACCGAATTAGTGAAATATGAAATATCGTTGGATACTTTCAGCCCTGAAAACTCATCTGCGAAGGAAATTGATTTACAGTCTGTTTACGACAATCTCGAAAACGATTTGTTTCTCGAAGAAATTGAACACATTATCAATTACCATTCTGAACATAATAGACATTTTCTTTCAACTATACAAACCCAAATCAGCAAAACGAGCACATTTGACCTCAAAATAATCCATGGGGTTGAATTGATCCCTGTAAAAAAACTGAAAATTGACTATCAAGTTATTTTTAAAAACCATGTTTTTGACGGAAAATCAGAGAAATACTTGCACGTTGAGGCAAAAGACAAAAAGTGTCGCATAATTTTTACTTGTATTGCTTTTTCGGAAGCTACAAAAGAGAAAAACATTTTGCGAGAGGTGACATCAGCTCTGCTACAATATTGCGGACTAACTAATTTGGACACCCCACTAACTGATCTCTTGACTAAGTTTATATTTGAATGCTCCGATAATGATTCCAGAAGGAAACTCCTGGAGATTCACAAAATTCCACTTCTAAACAGTGCCGCGTTTCAACAAACTAACAGAGAAGATTTGATTGGCCGCAAAGTTCCGAAACACTTTGAATCGCTCATTGAGCATGATCCTTATCGGAGGTTTCGACCCAATGACTTCGTTGCTGTGAAGCAAACTCCCGATAGCGAAGATCACTCTTCGTTTTTCGTATACGGTCGGTTCTTAAATGTGGAGATTGAAGCAAAATGGGAAATTTGCCAATTCCCCATTTTGCAAATTCAAGTTGACAAGGACGAGGTGAAAAACATAAGTGGCAGCATTGTTTCGGCATTCAAGGAAAAGGTTGAAAAGAAATCAAAATTTGACAGAAATTTTCAGGAGGAACTCGAAAAAGATGTCGACTATTTGTTCAAAGTGTTTTGCACATTCATCAGCTTTTCCGATTCAGATGATGATGACGTCAGAGAAAAACTGGACGTGTTGCTGGAGCGAGCAAAGTTGAGTATATTTTCAAAATACTCCACGTTTCCTTCTCTGGACGGAACTGGTCTTCTGGCATCATTGATAAACAGAGTGGAAAATCAGTGGAAAAATAAAAACATTCCCAACACTCTTGGTCAAATAAACGAGCCAGAAGATGTAGTGAGGTCATTTTTTGAACATGATTTAGAAAAATTGCAAGCAAGAATCGAAATCAACCAGCGCAAGTTCGAAGAGGCTGGAAGAGTTTTGGGTTCAAAAAATCGTAACGATAACAGCGTTGACTTGATGGTACGGGGCGTGGAAATGCTGAACAAGCAGCACCCTAAACTGGCTAAGTTATGGCTGAAACAGGCTGAGCAGGACGCCGAAGTGTTATATTTTCTGTGGAAGCGTCCAAAACGGAAAAGTAATATGAGCTGGATTGCGGATTGCGCCCTTAAGGTAATCATTTGTTTTCATTTGTTTGAAAAAGTAATCCGAGTCGAGATGTTTGACTGATTTTTCCACCTTCAAAATTGAGATTTTGCTGCTTTGAGACTGAAAATCCGCGGTCAAAAAGCTATTTTAAGTCGAGCACAAAATCGAAACAAATTCCACTCTGGTTGAAACCTAGGTCGAGCACAGTCGAAAAAAATCCATATTTGGTTTTAAAAAATGAAAACAAGGGACAAGTACGCTCAAAGCAAGCACCCAATTTTGGTCGAAAAAGTCAAAAAAGAGGTCGAGCGCTGTCGAAACATAGTACTGCCCCACTTTTAAAAAATTTTTGAAAAAAAGCTATTTTCAAAAAATAATATTACATGAAAAAAAATGGCTCATTTAGTGCTTCCGTCAGGGAGTTGTTAATTGCGTTCTAGTAGCTTTAGAGGGAACCCTTTTAAAATTTGAGATCAGAGGAACTCGGACAAAAAACTCAAAGAAATGTCTTAATATCTAAGATAAACAGCTTTAGCGCAGATTTAGAATTGAAAAGAAAACCACTGCAAAATAGGAAATTTTAATTTGCAATAATACGTTTTTGAGGCCACAAGTTTGGGCTTGAATCATTTTTATAACTATTTCTGGTCAATTAATTCAAGTTATCAGCTGTTTTTAATCTTGGGTTTTACTTTTACACTTCTGGTTTTTGATTTCCACATTAGTTTATAGTCTAGAAAAATTCTAGTCTAGAAGTAAGTCAAAATATAGGTTGAACACAGTCGAACGGAGTCAAAATATGTGAATAATTTTACCGGTCGAGAATTTCGAATCATATCTGAATTGTGTCAATCAAACGCAATTTTTCTTGAGTCGTGACGGCCAAAACATACCAAAGTTTGGCCCAGAAAAACGAATCATATCAAATGTTGGTCAAGACGGTGGAAAGACGCCGAGTTTTTCTCGAGAAAAAATGCAGATAAGTCGAGCAAACTTGGCCCCGGAAGTAATAAAATACTTTCAGATTTTTGCGGCCGAATTTCTGCATTTATTTCGAGGGTTTTGCACAATCTGCAAAGTATGCGAGGGCTTCGAATGGTTACAAAACCAAAGGCTTATTAGTTCCAATCCAAGCTTTTTTAATACTTTTTTTTGAGATCGAAACATGTCTTCTTATTCTATAGATTATCCAGAACTCTTTATCATCAATTTCCGTGCTGAACCATGGAGGTGTTTTCGTGTTTTCCAACGAACTCTCGCGAGCTAATCTCAGAAGATTAGAAGCGAACTTTGAAAGCGGAGGTGAAAAGAAAGATGTTCTGGAAGTGATCGAACAGTTAAATCTGATGACTCTCCATCGACCAGACAGAGGCCAAGAATTGACCTCGAGGGAAACCTTGTCGATGGATTTCATTATAAAAGCAAAGTTCAGCGCAGAAAAGACGCTTTCCATGGCTAAAAATGTCATTGAGAGCAGCATACTTCTGCAAAAAAACTCTTAGGAGCACTCAGTTACCAAAACTCCGATCGACTGCAAATTTGATTAAAGTAACCCTTAAACCTTGAAAAGAGACGTGCATTCCTCAAATAGGATTTTTTCCTTTATGCCTCCCTCCCCTAAATGAAGAAAAATGAAAAAAAAAGTTTTATCAAAAAATTGGACTGATTTTTTTTTACAAAAGCAGGGCCGATATCCCGAACGGTAAATCAAGCTAGAAAAATGCAAAATAAGCGAATTAAACGACAATTAAAAAAGCATTTGGCATTTTTTTTATAAAGTTTATGTGCAGAAAACGACAAAAAATGAGAAAAAGTCAGTTTGAGACTAAATCAAGTAAAAATGCTTCGTTTTTAACAGTCCCATAATAATTTATTGCAAATCCTAGTGAATATAAATTTTGATATAAAAATTTTTATTTTCAGTTTTTGTCATTTAGGGTGATGGATAACCAAAAAGAACCCTCAAATATTACGTTGATTCATTAAAAGCATGATCTCTGATTAATTTATTCCTCAAATTCTATAAACATAGTTTGAAAATCCAATCTCAGGCGATCACTTTTGACAAATATTTAAACATCATAGATTTAAGAACCAAAAGAGCCTACAGCATTTTCAGATTGTAAATATAGCTTTGATCAATTTTTGTATATTTATAAGGGTTTCAAGATTGCCAATTTGGCCCATTTGGATAGATCGACGCTCAATATGATTAATTTTACACGCGAAAGCGCAAATTAATCTGGCTCAGAAAACAGTCAATATTTAAATGAGATCATAGATATACATAGATATATTTCTAATTTCATAAATTTCTTGATATAGTTAAAAATTTTAGCCAACATTTTTTTATAGACGTTAAAAGAGAGTCAAAACAATCAGCATTTTGTCCTAATACAAGCAATCTGGTTTTTCCTACTTTTGAAGAAACGAATGGAGAATTTGTGCTGGGTGTGGCTTTAATTGGCTAATTTGAACGGAATTTCTTGTACCAGTCTGAAAAGAAAATTTCACTGCTGATCAAGCTATGTTCAATACGATGCTCGAAAAACTGGCCAGTTTGAGACAATTAACGCGTGTTGTTTTTTATTCTATTATGGCAGGCAGCTAATTAATAGTGAATTTTTTTCTTTTAATAAAAAATTATCCCCTTAAATGCTATATTTAATACAAATCGATATGTTTTGAGTCTCTTATTGTATAAAAAACAGCAAATGGTTTGCCTTAATTTGCTTTAAATGAATTTTTTGCAGTTTACGCTTTAATAAGACGAAGTATTTTGCGCAATTTGTTCTCCAATTGGAATTTTTTGCGGCAAAATAGTCCCAATCTGATCGAATGTAACTTTAAAACAAATGGTCACAGGTGAAAATTTTTTAATTTAGAGTTTTGGACGAAAAACTCTTTCAGATGGTGTTTAATAAATTGGATCTTAATTATTTCCCCCTTCTTCGATTTTCAGAAATTCAATTTTGGCGGCCACATTTTGGCGGGCCAGTTAGTCTAGAAAAACAACATTTTTCTAGAGTCACCAGAAGACACCAAAATAACACGAAAAGCCTAAATATTAAAAAAAAACACCAAAAAACCTTAATACTTTGTCTCTTTCTCCAAAAGTCGGAACCCGCGCTGGAGTTCCATGGATAATAATCGATAATAATGTCATTTCGTAGTCAGTATCTATAAAATTAAGAGAACAATCGATAATAATTTATCAAAAATGGATTATACTCCTAGTATTTTTTATGCCAATATAATCCATTATAATCGATTATATTCCATTATAATCCATTAAAAAATGGATTAAATTTCTTTTATTTCATGTACCAGTATAATCCCTGATAATCGGTTATAATCAATTATAATAGATTTTTCGAGAGGATAGTCATGAATTTTACAACGTTTTTTCGAAATTATCGCATTTCCTGTTTAGTGCTGCTGCTACGTTTTAGGTTCCATAAACTCTTACGTTTCACTTTTCAATTTTTCCATTTTTTGTCTCATACACCCCATTTACCCCCTCCCTGGTTACACCCAACCCCTCTATTTACCCCTCCCCCCGTTTTGCTCCCTGTTTCCCTCCATGTTCCGTGTAAATCATTCCCCCCTGGGAGAGGGGGTTTATGATTTACACCCCCACCCCAGTTTAACCCCCATATTAGTTTAAACCCCCGACCCCGTTTACTGAACGTGGGCGGGGTAAAAATGAAGGGGGTAGAACAACTGAGTAACTTCTAACGGGGGGGGGGGGGGTGGGGGTCAACTTTAGTAAACATGGGCGTGGGCGTAAGGATAATTGCAGGGGAGTGGGGGAGGGGTTTGGGCAAATGCGGATGGGGGGGGGGGCGAAGTTGGGGGGGGGGGGGTGGGGTTAGACTGCGAGTAGGCCGTGAGTAACGCAGAAATGTTGCAAGTTTTACAAATGATTGTGCAAAAAATTGTAAAAATTATAATCCGTTATAATCAATTACAATGGTTTTTAATTGGATTATAATCCATTATAATGGATTTTAATGGATTGTGTTTGAACGAAAATAATCGATCTCAATGGCAAAATAGTCGATTTCGTGGTCTAAATTTGCAACAGTATTGGATTATAATGACAAAATTTTAGACAACAGTTTTCCATTATAATCGATTATTATCCATGGAACTCCGGTGCGGGAACAATTTAAAAGTTGTGTAACCGGTTAAAACAAAAAAAATGAGACCCGAAAATAATTATAACTATTTCTGAGAAAAAACCAAAACACTTCTTGTCCTATAATTCGCTTGTTTTGATTTTATTGAAATCTGTTAATTGTGCATAGTTGAATTAATTTACTCGGCAACTTAAATATTGAGACTTTTTTAAAATGCTATCATTTTTACTCAAGACGTTTCAAACAAAACTTCGCGTGTCAGGGCAAATTCATCATTGTTCGAACTCATCTACAAGGTATCTTAACCAGTTTTCGGTAAAAAGACTTCATCACTTTTTCAACGAAAAATAATAAATATGCCCTTTTTCTACAATATCTCAAGAGCAAAATGATCAATTTATTGTCTTGCCGCAAATTATGTGGCCCGAATAGCTTGCGTCAATTAAGTATGGAATGATTTCTGAGCCCAACTTGCCGAGTGCGCTAAGTGTTAAAGGTAACATGATATGCAATATTTGTCCTCAATTAATCGAATTGCCATTTTCAAACCACCATAATTTTCCAAAAAATTAACGCGGGTATAATATCTTTATAGGTTTGGGTTTGTTAGATCATTTTTTTTCGGATGATAAGAAAACCTAAATATACCTGAAAAATAAACAACCCGAGCACAAATATACCGTCTTTTTCTTCGAAAGTCGGCACATTTATTCTTGTTATATATCTGTTTATGTATTTCTCTATGTATATATTAATATATCTATGCTTATGTTGTATATCTCGCTTCAGTTTCAGTTTCTCGCTGTCGAGTATTGTGATGGATGATTGATAAATAGATGCTTGTAGATTCTTTTTTTGTGTTGATTTCTGTGGATACCTCTCCCCTATCGTCTGTTCTCCTCGAATCTCACTTGGTCTGCTATGGCATGGTTCTGAGCGTCCAATGCCTGAAAAAAAGAAAGCATACTCTGTAGAAAAAAAAGCTAATATAGAAAAAACTTAGAGAACTTCCGTGCAGCTGGCAAAAATTTGTTCAAATTACTATCCAGTTTTTTAAAAAGATTTATCTAAATTTCCAAGGGCAATTTTCAATTTGAGATGATAAAAAGGTATTGAGATAAATACCACTTTTAAAATCCGCTAATCTCCAAATGGTTGGATTATTTAAGTTTTTGGATAAGATTTATTATTAAGAGGCGTTTTGGGTCAACATTTATGATAACAACAGGTGTACTGGGCGGACTTTTAGGGCAGATTTTTGCAAGAGGGATAGAGTATAGCTATAGCATTAAATGTTCACTAAGTTAGTAAAATAGCTAATAGAAACCATGTCTAACGTCTAGAATCAGGCGTGCAATTTTGCTATACGATTCTGATATATTCGACAAACTTTTAAATTCTAATTCAAAAAACCAAATAGTTTTAAACGTATAGTGCTTTCCCAAAAGTTTGCAGTAGTTTTTAATAAAAAATCTGGAAAGAGAAAAATAGGAGTTTTTTCTTAGCTGTTTTTTCTTAACGGTCAAATAATTTTTACTAACTGATTTTTTTTTTGGCAAAGAAACGACTACCATCCGTACAAAAACAATATACAATTCCCCTTAGTTTTTTTAGTCTCCCGCACCCAGTTTCAAGCGCAAATAATCAATTATTTTATGATTTTAGTACAAGTCTCATTAAAATAGAGAAAAAATGGCTTTTAATCAGCTAATAACCGATTATAATCTCTGGCTTTGAAATCAAACTATAAACAGTTAAAATACATTTTAATCAATTATTAACAACTATTAGTGCATTTTTTGCGATACAATTATAATCGATTGTAGTTTATTATAATCAATTCTTTTCATCCCAATTCCTAAGTCATTTGTTCTGAACAGGGCTTAGGAAATTAGACGAAAAGCAAATTAGACGATCAGAAAGAAATGGAATCTAGATGATAGTTGCGTGAAATTTGTTTACAGAAATAAATTAAATTTTGTTTGAGTAAATACTGTTTGCCCAAGCACAAATCAGGTTATCAATTTCATAATTGCATAATTTAAGCATTTCAAAAATGCACTACACTTTATCAGTTTATTGTTTTATAATTGGTTTCCAATATAAATCTTGACCAGTTCTGTGATAATAAACTTTTTTTGTTTCTGTGCAACTTCATTCTAAGCAAAAAATATTGTTGGCCTAGTTCTTATCGCCTAAAATCACAAAAACTTATTGTTCTAAGTTCAATTCCGCTATGGTTGACTAATTTACTTGTGTAATTTTGTAGGCCCCGTTTTGCACAAAAAGGCCATTCAAATCAATTATAATTTATTAAAGAGTTTTTTATTATCGATTATAAGAGATCATAATCTCTTTGAAAATTTCACGATTATAGTCGATTATAAAGTCTGTAAACACCTAATTTTGGTAACTACAATAAATTATGATTGTCAAGCAACCAACATAATAATTCATTATAATCGATTATTTACGCCTAAACTTGGATGTGGGTCCCCTTAAGGGGAGTTGAGAATGTAGACGATAAGCAAATTAGACGGAGGTACTTAAAAGGAACATAGACAATTTTGAAAAACTGCAATTGTGAGAAAATAGACGAAAGCGAGAGAGATTAAAATTGTTTGCAGACAAATTGCGCGAGAAAATATAATTTTTTGTAGACAACAGTTAAAATTCGGTAGCCAAAATCATGCATAACTTATTCAAATCAAAATTCCATTGTAAAATTTGGTTTTGAAATTTTTTGTTCATTTGAGCTGATTGTTTTGATAGTTATTGATATGTTATGTTCTTTTTGTATTTTTGAAACTTGACTCTTAAGAAAAAATTTTGTTGGCCCTTTCCTTTTCATAGCTTTTTTGTCTAAAATGCCAGATCTGTAAGAAATAAATTCCGTCTACTTTTGTTTTTGTAGCATCCGTCTAATTCGCTTATCGTCTAATTTCCTAGGCCCTTATCTTGTAGGAAGGAAAGTGCGGCATACTCTTCTAATATTCAGTAACTACTCTATTGTCAGTTGGTGGAAAATACTCACTTTCATCTCGTCTTCTGTCGGAGTCTTCAAGGAGAACAAAGAAACATGCAGTTAATAACCGACAGTTGATAATAATTCAACAAATTTTTTTCATAGAGGAGTCTTCAAAGAGATCAAAAAAACATGCAGTTAATAACCGACAGTTGATAATAATTCAACAAATTTTTTTCATAGAGGAGTCTTCAAGGAGAACAAAGAAACATGCAGTTAATAACCGACAGTTGATAATAATTCAACAAATTTTTTTCATGGAATAAAATATACAATCAAAACTATAACGTAGAGACTCACATAAAACTTACTTTTAATATTCCTAAATATTAAGTAGCGAAAACTTCCCAAATGAGCTAGTATACAAATATTGGCGAGCTTTTGAATATCGACCAATGTTATTTGTGAACTACAGTTGCAACTGACATAAGCTTCATTATGGATTCGAAAGTGCACTTACCCTGCATTTGATTCCTTCTTGGATGGAGAATGAGACCTGCACTCCTTTCTGATGTTTCGACTTGTTCGAAAGTTTCGGCAGCTTATAAACCAGCTTCGGAGTCGCACACCTGTAAACACAATTAACACACAAGTATAACCATTTTGCTTCCATGAGTCTAAAAGTTAACATTTGAAAGCTGCAGTATATTAGTTGATTGTCTGACTGTTTTTGATAGGCAAAACCACCTTCTACAGCGTATAAAACGTACAGTTTATGCTCTAATTTTTCCTCGAAGATTCAAATGATTGACTTTTTTTGATCATAAACATATAAATTTGTTTCAAAATATTTCTAACTTTTTCATTCAGTTAGCAGCTCAAAACGTATATTGCCGTCAATTTCAGCAAGAGACATTCTGAGTGGTGTGTCTGAATTGACCGATATAGCTTGCAAAGTCTCTTTTAATTCCAAGTCCGCGGAAAAATGATTTCGATCTACGTTGATAACCATTTTCAAAGCAGAGTACAATTTTTGGAGGTCGTAGAATTGAAAGGGAAAATCATTTAAAGATAACGGAAAATTGAGCTTTTTAATTATTCCGGCAGAAAGCGCAAAAAACCTTCCTTAGTTGAAAACTATCTACACAACTGTTTGGTTAACAAATTGGGGTTGTTGGTCGGAAGCATATGAGGTCAGATCTAGTGACTGCATCGCATAAAAGCCGATTAGTTTAGAGGTCAAGTGGGGTTTTCTCTAGTTTGACCTTTGACCTTACCTGGCCCTCCACTCCTCGTGTCTCTTCTGCACCTCCAAGTCCATCAGTCTGAGCATTTTGTGCTTCTGCGGGTTCTTTTCCACCATCACAGGGGCCTTAAAATGTTAAGAGAAAAACATTAAGTTTGAAACTGAATTCATATCGTAAATTTACAAACAACAGACAATGCTTAAATTAAACCACAGGGACTATTCACGAGCCCATGGGACTATACTCTGGCTAATATATTGTTTTAAAAAGCAGCTATTTATGAAGCAAAAAGTTTCTTATACATTTAAAAATGATTAAGTGATTTTTTGAGCTATAAACTGGATTTTTACAGATCTAGATGTTTCTAATTTTTTTTTCAAAGCCAATCTTACTTCAACCCTATAATTTATTCCCATTTTTAGTTAGTACACTGACGTTAGTTGAAAAGGATCCCCCAAGACAACTTCTAAACACAGCAGTTATTGCTTTCAGGTGTTAACTCTAAAGCTTGGAATCAAATCCTCCCCTAGTCGATCAAAATATCCCCATCGTTCCAAATCATACAAGAATGTTGCAAGATTCTCACAATATAAACATTTTTTTAAAAAAAAACTTGCGGTACTAGTATCACGAAACAAGATCTTGCAAGATGACCCTCAATTGCAAAAATTTCCATGATCTTGCAAGATAGGCTTCGTCTTGCAAGATAATAACGATGTTTCGAATATAGTCACCTTATAGTATTTGAAGAAGGCGGCGAAATATGGACAGAGTAGTTTGAAGATGCGTTCGTAGGCGTCCACGAAGCCACTGATCTCACTGTACTGTTCGTTCTTGGCGAAAAATCGGCCTGAAATAAGTAGTCATAATGTAATCATAATGAAGTAGGTAATCATTTTTTCGTGCCCGTTGAGATTTTTTTCAGATCTCAAAAAACACAAAACAATTAGCCCCAATAGCTGTCGGCAAAATTAGAAAAATTTAAGACCCCAATAAGTGCAACATATCAGTAAGTAAAACGCGACCTCTAGCTTCAGGTCGACCAACTTTTGCTGCAATAGTGGTACCACGTGAAAGTTCTAGACGCAAAAAAAAACAGCCTTGAGTCAAACGGACTGTCCTCGACAGGACTGTTAAGGCCTACTGATAGATCCTCTGCGATTCGCAGGAACCACATTTTTATCATATAATTTTAACATATAAAAGAACGTAAATAAAGAATTTTTTTCGTTTTGTTTGCGTAAAAATTCCCAAGGGGCCTTTAAGGAAAACTCGGGCTGATCAAATTGTTTCGTGGAAAGTGGCGGTGAATTATTTCCCAAGAAAAAACGCCTGCGTTCATTCCATGAAACTTAACTTGAATTTTTAAACTTGACTCAATACCTTGTTTGCATATGCGTACAACCAAGTCCACCGGGATATCCAGCTGGATCCGGGGTTCCGCTTGGCTCTCCAGGAATGCATCTAGGATGGCTTCTATCTTCCTACTCAGAGCAGGGGGGTCATTGTTCTGGTGGATCAACTCACGCAGACGAGACACCTTAACAGCAAGAAGAAAATGATAAGAGAGTGTGTTTGAAACATTTGAGGAGGAAAGTCGCTCAGAAACTATAAAAAACAGTTCAAAAATACGTCTTTTATTAGTAATTATCTCAGTTGAAAAAAGCGTGGATCATTTTCTTGAATACATACAAAAATTCGAAAGTTTCAAAAATCATAATGGCGTTCAGTAGCTGATGGGGGGGGGAGGGGTTTAGAGTATGAGGCAACGCTATTTCTCCGTAATTCGACACCTGACTGCCCCAAAAGTCTCCTTTGGATTTATTTTACCGTACCCATTTTCGACGACCAATCCTAAAATCTTTCTAAAAGTGTCTTCGGAAGGAGCGCTCGCCAAAATAACGTGAATCTTTGTCTAAGCTTTTCAAAAACTGCCTAAAAATGTCATTTTTTTTTCATTTTTTTTTCTCCAAAATAAAAGTTTCATGTTTTGTCATAGCTCTGAAATTCAATTTTCTCGATCGAAGCAAAAAGTAGGGAACTTTTTCGGAAAAGCAATTTAGTCAGCAACCGCAGAATTATATCCTTCGGTCTGTCCTGCTACACGCTGCAAAACAAAATGTCTTTTTTTATTTCAAAGTCTCACTGACTTTGAAATTTAAAAAAAAACAGAAACTCCTATTAGTTTGCAGGGTATTTCTTATCGTATCAGAAAAAAAGACATTTTTGTTTTGCAGCGTGTAGCAGGGGCGGATCTAGAATTTTCTGGAGGGGGGGGGCGGATTTTCCAACAATTTTCGAAAACTTTGCCGACTTGTTTTTAGGATGAGCAAATTGATTTTTCGAGCACTCTAAGAACACTATAAAAACCTTATTTTGACCAAAAATTTCGCACTGCAGGCAAACTTTTGAAAAAACAGGTCCTAAAGACCTTTTGGCTGGTGGTAGGGTCAAATCCTTGAGAAAGGGGCGTCCCCTAAATCCGCCCTAGCCTGTAGTGTTTACTTGCCTCGAAGCAGAATATGAGTCCCTTGGGGAGGAGGGGGTGACAATCGCCCCCCTTGGCACACCTCTGCAGGTGTTTGTAGAAAGAGTGCAGCATCGCCAACATCCGCTCCTCCTGCGGTCTGTCCAGTGCTGTACAAAAAAGAACTGATTTCAAGTTCATATCAACAAAAAATCAAGGAATTATTGACAATAAACGAAGTTAAAGTTTTCTGATACCTTAAGAATGTGAAGGATGTCTTAAGTTATTTCTGAAACACTATTTGAAATTCTGAAGATTCTTAATAACTCCGCTTAAACCACTGCAAGTTTGTTAAAGGTTGAAACTCGTAGTTTTTTTCATCTCGCTGACAAAAAAGTTTTCGTCGATAAAAAGTATGAAAAATAATTGAAACATAAAAGCTTAGTTTATGCTGTATTTTAAAGTGCATTGAGGCTTTAGAGAAAATGTTAGCTTGACAATTGGCTCAATTGGCTTCCAGTCTTTCGGTGGAGATCAAAAAAATTTCAAAATAATTTACACATAAGCTGAACAAACGGCAAAGTTTGAAAAAAGAAAAGCTGAAATGAAAACTTGTTCACTTACCTGTTTTGAGCATTTCTTTGTCATCTGCAGATGGGCTTATTTTAGCAGGCTGGTCTTCATCCTCATCTGTCAGTCCATTGTCAATCTTCCGTTTGTTCCACATAGGAGGATACAGTCTCATATTTCCAAGCTGCTTCTTGCTAATATCAGGCGAAAAGATATAACATAGTAATGCATTTTTGAAGAACTTGCATTTTAACCAGTTCTGCTCTCATAGAATTTGTTATAACTTATATCGTTTTTGATTACAATAAAAATTAGGTTTATACTAAAAAAAAATATATCAAAAACATAACCAAATGTACCATTTATTATATAATTTTACCTGTTCTCCATACTGGCCAAATACAGCATCCCTTCTCTGAAAACCTCAAAATACTCCTCAACTTCGGGTTTGATGTAATCGAAAACAGCCTGCAGTTTCGACTCTTGAGGCCTGATTTCTCGAATAATCAACTTTCTCGGCAAATCAACTTTCAAACTGGCTTCTCGCCTCATGTATTTACTCACAATTTCCATGCCTAAGTTTTCTTTTTCGCCCATTTTCGTCAGTGTGAAATACGTTTCAAGGTCTTTGCAAAGTTTGATTCTGTTTTGAGCGTCGCTTGACTCGCAATCTAACAAGTACTCTATGAACTTTTGTGATAGAGTTTCGTCCTCCAAACATGCGTTCAGTGTCAGACTTTGAAGCCAAGCTGTTTTTTGCTTGTGTTTCTTGCTCGCTTTTCGTTTCGCTATTGAGGCTTGCTCGGCCGCAGCTCGTCGATTGTCGCTTTCGCGAGTTTTGATTTTTCGCGACGAGACTTTCCTTTCAAATTGAGCTACATTATCGCCAATTTCATCCGTCATCATCTCGTGAAGCTTTCGTTTTTGGTTTTGCAAATACATTTTTCTCTCGAGCCGAATTCTGTCTCGTTCTTCGGACATCAACTTCCGTCTCTCCATTTCCAGAACTTCTTGCTCCTTTTCTCTCTTCAATCTTTCTTTTTCGAGGCGAGTTTTGATTTGACTTTCAGTTGACCCCGGAATTTTCCTGAACTTGAGGTCATCTTTTTCCAGTCTAATTCCGGACGCGCTTGCAAATCTGTTCAGCAACTGACTTCCATTTTCTCCCCGATACACCAGAAAAGTTCTCAAATCATCCTTGTTATACCTCACCCAAGACTGTTCTAGATCTTTGACAACTCTCTCTGCTATTGGCTCAAAAATAAGGCTATTCAGATTGTCTTTTTTGACTTGAAGTTCAACTCTCATTTTTTCGATTTCGTCATGAGGCACTTCTATAAACCACAAGCTGAGCGGGTTGAAATATTTATTGAAAATATTCCAAGCCGAAGCTGTTTTTATCTGTTGATTCGAATACAGTTTGGCCGTTTTTTCGAAGGACTTTGCGTCTTGCCAAAATAAAAATTTAGCCAAGTTTTTCATGTGAAACTTGTCTTGTTCAGCACTGGTTGCATTTAAACACTGTTTTTGGAGATGTCTGAAAAAAGGGCTTCCGGTTTGCTTGTCATTTTCGATGCTCTTCATAAAGAAGTCTTCACGTGGCTGCAATGCTATGGTCCATTCATCAGGCGTTCTTTTAACCCCGCTTTTGACCCGTGACACGTGACTTTTATTGAACCCCTGAACATCGCTCCACGTTTTGAGAGGGTTGTTCAACAGTCTGATAACTGAATCGTCCGGTTTTAGAGGTAGTGTTTTTGAGACATCTATGTATGGATGCAGTGAAAAGTCTTGAAGCTTGTCTGGAATTATACTAGCTGATTTCTGGTTATCCAGTTCATTAAAATCTGGATCGTTTTCAATTAAGTCTACCGCACTTTGTCGGTCGGTTATGTTCGTAACGCCTGCTGTGCTAGAAGGCTTTGACTTCGTGTCCAATGAAAGTAGCCGGAACGCCGAGGGAACTCGGATTCCTTCGGTTTGTTCCATGTGTTCCAGGTACCTCGGAACCCAGTAAGTCCGGATTCTCCTCAAAATATCATACTGGGTTCGCATAAACGCAGTTATACTAAAACCATCACTTTGCAGTGATTTCCTGATTTGCTCTTTTGTTTCACGTGACAAATTGTACTTGTTCATGATTTCTCGGAAAATTTGTCGAAACTGCTTTCCACTTATTCGATCCTCGCCAAATTCTTCAAATTGTTCGAGCTCGTCTTTAAACTGTTCAACTTCGACCCAAAATTCGATCAAATCTTTCCCGTTTTCAGTGTTTGTCAGAAAAGTCTTGAAATTTTCTAAGCCATCTCTAGTGCTCAGAAACTCTTCTTTAAGCTGTTGCAAAACTGTTCTTCTCTTATGAGCTGTTGTTCGTCTTCTAAATCGAGTAGATGAGTTTCCTTTTAAGGTACTATATCGCAACCCATTTTCATCAGTTTCACCGGTCGGATTTTGGCGCGCTTTTCCAGTTAAAAGGCGGTTGTTGATGTTGCGGGCCGATTTCTCGAAAACCGATGACTTTGCACTTCGGAGTTGCTCGTCGTCGCCGTCTTCATCATTGTTGTCGGCTGAATCACCATCAAACTCGTATTTGAAGTCGTCCAAGTCGTCGTAGAAATGTTCATCGTTCACATTTCTCTTGACCGATTTTGTCGAAGTACTCGCCAAGTTTAGAACCTCAATTTCGTTTTCGTCTGAATCATCATTCGTCTTTTTGCTACTAGCTAGTTTTTCAGTTGACGAAAGCTGAACACTTTTCTTATTGGCATTCCCGCCCGACTTCAAAATACTTTTCGGCTCACCATTTTTCAGCTGCTTTGCAGCCGAAACGTGATTATTCCGACTCGTGTCGACCGGGCTTCCCCCGCCGGAATCAGAGTCGCTGTTATAGAACCCGTCTCGGTTTCTGTTCCCGCGCATTATTGAGATTGGCAAACTGAAGGCTCTCGATCCGGGCCGAAGGTATTTGAAAGCCGAGAACCTAATTTCGGGCCAGGCGTTGCTTTCGTTTTCGTACTCATTTGATTCGGTTGTGCTATTTTTAGAAGCGCTGTTCATGAAAGTTGAAGTGGAGTCGCTTCTCGTTTGCCGACTGTACCCTCCGAGACCGCTATACGTGGAGGCTCTTCGAATTTCAAGAGTGCGGACCAAATGCTTGCTTAGTTTATATTCCAGGTAGAATTTGGAAGTCAAAAATAAAGGAAGGCGGTCATTTTTAACCCAGATGAAGATTCTTTCACGTTCTTCGTCATTTGGACCGTATTTGGCAGGTTGGTCGTCGACTGAAGCCGAAGTATCGATGTCAACTTCGAGGATGTTTCCAGTTAGCCGATCGTAGTAAAGAGGAATAGGAAACGAACTGGAACTGAGAAATGCATTAAAGAAGTCGAGAAAAGTATCATCGTAGGCTAGCAGATCATCCAAGTTTTCCTCGGAAACTTCTAGAACTTTTGTCATGGCGCAAATTTAAGTGTAATATTAATTTCAAAAATGTACTTTTATCGGAATTATTTAAACGCTGTTGTTATTACATTTTTGAAAGAACTAAAGACATCAATAGATTTTTGTGTGTACAATTTATCACTTATTTGAGCTAAAAGTATTTTAGAACGTGCTATTTTTGATTATGGTTAACGGCAAACCAACATGCGGTTTATTTAAAACTCAACGCAATTTGAAACCATTTTTTAAAACCAAACTACTTTTGATAGATATTAGATTTTTGTATGATAACTTTTAAAAAGTCTTTGAAGTTAAATGTTGCTCACAGTTGTGGATTTAGGAAAAATGGGGATCCCCTCTAACCCCAGGGATTTGATTCCTTGACCACTTAAAGGTTCCCATTTTGGTATTTTATGAATGGTGTTTTGATCGAGCTAAAAAATTGGCGAAGATTTGATCCGCCTTACTGGTTAGTCAGAAAGACTACAAATATTTAAGGTTCTAGCAACCGAAAAAAAATGATAGTAATTCAGCTTCACTTGAACAACCGAAAGTCTCAAAATGGTGTATTTCTTTTATTTATTTAGAAACTTAGCTTAGTTATACATGTTCAGTTTCAGTGAAGTACAGCACAAACTAAGCAAAAGCATCAACTCATTAAAGCATGAGCCTCGAATAATAATTTGAAGTTTGAAGAAGAATAATTAAAACTCAATAGGAGAGTGTGAGACACGACTGCAAATACTGTCAGTTGTCTTGCTCAGAAGCTTATGTAATTTTTTCCGTTGAGAAATTAAACTTGTGATAAATGTCAACCAGGTGATAAAGTTATCCACTTAACAGAGAGAGTCAGCCGAAGAAGCATCGCAACGATTTTGTTTTATTTTGCAACGAACGGCTTTCAAATCTGATTTATAAACTAATATGGCTCAAAAAATCTGAATTTCGAAATTTCAAGATTTGGATTTTTGGCTCATGTAGAATGTTTTTGTGCTTATGTAAAATGTATGGTAGTCCCATACTGAAGTTTAAATTTTGTCCCAGACTTGATCAATCATTTTCACTTCTTGCAAAAAATCAGTTCTGATCACAAAAGTTGCACGAGTGGGCAGGGGTGATATGAAACAAAAATAGCCGCAATTCTGATCAGACCAGGTTGACCAGATATATTGGCCAGAAACACGTAGCCAGATCTGTTCTACACGTGATCAGACCAAATTAACATGTTGTCTGTGTTGTGTCAGTGCTAAAAGAGATACTTACAAATGTAAATTTTTTCATCCATGTGAAATCGAATCAAGTCAACAAAACTTGCAAACAAGCTGGGGATTACTTCAAAAGTTTTTTTTCAGTTTAACTAATGATAGTCATGATGCGATGTTTTAAGGCTGGCTGTTTTTGAATTTAGTTAAAAAATCGCAGAATGCCTTTCGTTTCAATTGAGTTGAACTTAATTTACACGAACTTCATTATGTAAAAAGTCTAACCTGTAAGGAACTCTGACCCCAGGTATTCAATCTCTTGCTCACATTAAAATTCCTCTTTTGCTATTTTATAAATGGTATTTTGGTCGAGCAAAAAAATCTGTGTAAGTTTGATTCGCCCCTGGTTGGCCAGAAAGAATACAAATATTTAAGATTCTCCCTCACGAAAAAAATGATAGTGGCTCAGCAACATTTGAACAATCGAAAATCTCAAAAAAATTTTGCAGTACTTTCAAAGTAGCCGGCGCGAACTCGATCAATTCTTAATGCAAAATGGTTTTTGATAAAAAAATTTATATTTCAGTGACTTGTCACACAAAAATGATAACCTTACAGGGTATCTACAGAAAAACAAGTTGTGTGTTCTTGCTTTTTATGCTTTATTTAGCACAGAAAGGATCTCAAAAGGATCTCAACTTAATTTACACGGAAAGGATCTCAACTTAATTTACACGAACTTCATTATGTAAAAAGTCTAACCAGTAAGGAACTCTGACCCCAGGTATTCAATCTCTTGCTCACATTAAAATTCCTCTTTTGCTATTTTATAAATGGTATTTTGGTCGAGCAAAAAAAATCTGTGTAAGTTTGATTCGCCCCTGGTTGGCCAGAAAGAATACAAATATTTAAGATTCTCCCTCACGAAAAAAATGATAGTGGCTCAGCAACATTTGAACAATCGAAAATCTCAAAAAAATTTTGCAGTACTTTCAAAGTAGCCGGCGCGAACTCGATCAATTTTTAATGCAAAATGGTTTTTGATAAAAAAATTTATATTTCAGTGACTTGTCACACAAAAATGATAACTTTACAGGGTATCTACAGAAAAACAAGTTGTGTGTTCTTGCTTTTTACGCTTTATTTAGCACAGAAAGGATCTCAAATCAGATTTCTAAAATAACTTGGCGGTAGAACGTTGCGGTTATGTTGGAAGTATCTATGGTAGTCCCATACTGAAGTTTCAAATTTGTACCAGACTTGATCAACTATTTTTCACTTCTTGCAAAAATCAGTTCTGATCACAAAAGTTACACGAGTGAGCAGGGGTGATAATGAATAAAAAATGCCGCAGTTCTGATCAGATTTGGTTAAAATATGACCAAATATGGAAAACACGTGATCAGATCTGGCAAACACGTAATCAGATCTGTTTGACACGTTATCAGATCAAATTAACAGGTTGTCTGTGTTGCGACAGTGCTAAAAGAGATTTTTACAAAAATAAGTTCAATACGAGGCCAAACTGTGCACTGGATAGGCGCACAATTTTGTGTCTGTATGTTCATGGATTCCGTAGACAAGTCTTTACACATATTAAAATTTTGCCGGAACGATCAGAGAAAATGAAAGAACAAAGGGAGCATCCTTGTTGCGGAATCTGCTTACGATGCACAAAATGCACAGTTTGGCCTCGTAATGGTTTTTCATCCATGTGAAACCGAATAAAGTCATCAAACAAGCTGGGGATTTTTTCAAAAATTTATTTCAGTTGAACTAATTATAGGCATGATGCGCTTTTTTAAGGTTTGCAGCTTTTGAATTATTTAATTTAATCGCGGCATTTTCAAAATCACAGAGTGTATCTCGTTTCATTTCGAGTTTAACTTAATTTACACGAGATTCATTATGTAAAAACTTTACCTCGTTATGAAGTCTAACCCCAGGTATTCGATCCAGTGACCACATTCAAATTCCCTTTTTGGTGTTTTATAAATGGTATTTCGGTCGAGCTAAAATTCTGCGTAACTTTGATCCGCCCCTGGTTGGCCAGAAAGACTACAAAACTTTAAGACTTTAGCTCACGAAAAAATGATAAAAGTTCAGCAACATTTGAACAATCGAAAATCTCAAAAAGGTGCATTTTTTTAATTTGATTATACATTTAAGAAAGTTATAAATGTGCAGTTTCAGTGAAGTACAGAGCTAAAAGAAATGCTAAAACATCAACTCATTGAAGCATGAGCCTCGATTAATGCTTTGAAATTGAAGAAGTATAAATAAAACTTAATTTGATAGTGCCGGACAAAACTACAAACTCTGCCAGCATGCAGGTTGCCTTGCTCTGAAGCTTATGTAAATTCTTTCCGTTGGGAATTTAAATTTGCATTAAAGGTCATTGAAACGATAAGTTATCTACTTAACAAAATCAGCCGAAAAAAAATCTCAATACTTTCAAAAGTAGCTGACGCGAATTCGATTAATTGTTTTTGCGAAATGTTGTGGATAAAAATTTCTTTCATGTGACTTGTCACAGAAAATCGATAGATTTTCACGGTCTCCACAGAATAATAGGTTGTAGGTTCTTAATTTTGCATTATTTTGCAAAGAAGGGATTTCAAATCTAATTTCTGAACTAATTTGGCTCACGAAACCTAAATTTCAAAGTTTTAGGATTTGATTTATGGCTCATGTAGAATGTTTCTGCCGTTAAGTTGGTAAATTGTATGGACGTGATCAGATCTGGCAGGCACCTAGTAAGATGTATTTGACACTTGATCAGATCAAATTAACACGTTGTCTGTGTTGTGCCAGTGCTAAGAGAGATACCTACAAGAGTAAATGTTTTCATCTAGATGAAACCGAATTAAGTCAACAAAACTTGCATACAAGATGGGTATTCTTTCATAATTTTTATTGAGTCAAGTTTCGCCGATCGAAATAATAGTTTTCAACAAAATTTGTTTTACCCCATTGAAGATACCGACTTCCTGAGTTCATATATAAAAAGATATTTCACCTCCGATTATCTTTTGTAAAGTTCTGGGTGTTTGAAAACTGCCAAATTGGCCATGTTCTGAACGAAATTATGCGCACCTTGAAGAACTTATTCATATTGCTGAGAGCGTAAAGCGAATTATGTGTGCATGGTGAATTATTCCGCCCAATAAAATCGTATCAAATTGAATTGAGGCTAGCTAATTAGATCGGTCATATTAATTTCGTACGACTTAACTTTTTACACTTTGATATTGTCCAAAATTGATAGGTTTTCAATATTTTCTTTTCCATATTCAATATTTGATATGAATTAGGGGACAGTCGGAAAATTCAGGGCTTTGCCCTGATATACGAGCAGTCTTGTTTTTAATTTAATTACTGCATTTTAAAATTCGCTGAGTGTCTCTTATTTCAATTCGAGTGAACCTTACTTTTTACATAAATTTCCTCATTCAAATCAGTTAATTTGACTGTTTCTGAAATTCGTTTCGTTACTGACTCCCCTTCTCTTCTACCTTGCCCCAAAAGACACTATAACTCCACAGGATTCAGATCTGTTCAGAACTGAATAAATTCAAGAAAATCAGACCTGATTCAGCTCAAAGGTTGTCATGCTCATGCGTAATATAGGCATGTCACACATGTGATGCTAGCCTGAAAAATGCCCGAATTAATGATACTCACATAATATTTTGTCAATTAATTCAGTACAGGTAGTATAAGTGTTGAAGCCCTCATGTACTGATAATGCAAAGATCCCCGAAAAAACCCCGGCATATATTTTACGACAAGTCCCCCATTTGGTACTTTTTAGGAAATCCATTTTTGGCCAACCGACCCTAAAATTTTTCTAAAGACCCCTTTAGGCGCCAATATATTCTATTTTTGAGGGGAAAGCGCGCCGAAAAAACGCAAGGTCAAAATTTTCCAAAAAGTGCCTAAAAACGCCTTTTTTGGACTGTTTTTTCAAATTTTTGCCT